TGCTTCTATTAGACAGGGGGGGAGGGGATATGGTAGGTCTGTCCTTAAGAAAAAGACACATCTGTAGCTGCATTGTTTTTCACCGGGGTCTACAAACCAGTAATCGAGAGGTGTTCGCCGCCGGCTCAATAATTGTTGTTAAAATAATTTGCAATTCCATTTAATTTTAATGGTGCGGGGGAACAGAGGCCGATGAATCGGGGCTTTGCTTCTCTGAAAAAAAAAGCATTTTACCACACACACACTCCCTCTTTTATCTTCCTTCGGAGGGCATCGATCAATCAATGCGTATGAGCTTTATTTTTTTTATTCGTCCTTAATGACCTTTTTTCCTATGGGTCTCTCTTGCCCGTTTATCCTTTACCTGTTGTTTGCTTTCTTTTTTAGGTGTTGAGATTATTTGTTACTTTTTTCTGGGGAAGAGTGCGTGTTGTTTATTTTGGAAGTTATCATATTCATTCTGTCTATATTGGCCCAATCATCGTATAGTTTGTGGGTGAATTTTCCCGTTCCCCCTTGCCCTTTCTTGCCTGTGCTGATTCTTGGATAGACGTTCATCAAAAAGAAAATGCTGGCATCACGGGATCCTAACACCATTTCTCCCGCGACTATCTGTCTTAAGACTGAAAGTCTCACCAAACCGGTGGGGATATGCGCACAGGAGAGAAGTCACATGGCGAAGCTTCCAGCATCCATCAGGACCATTCTCAAGTCCTGCAAAGACACCCTGACTGAGGATGAGGTTACTCGACTGGGTAAGGTTTCACCAGACACACGCTGCGATGCACTTCGCATGCTTTTCGAGGGGACGGAACCCAACATCATTCGCGCGTACTTACTCTCGAAGACACGCAATGTGGATGCAAACACAAATGGCCCGACCCCAATGGGGTCGGATGTTAGGATGAAGTTAGTAGATGATGTTGTGGATGGAACTTTCAAAATGACGCATCGAAGTGGGTCCGAAAATACACCTAAGCCAGCACAACCCGTACTGGCAAGCATTGGGGATGATATTCATGGGTGCAAACATTCGCTACATTCTGTAGCGGACTCCACTGCTGTTTGCGGCGATAGCATGATAACTACGCACAACCATCACTATTGCAGTCCCTTTTCGCCGAATACCTTGGTTTCCGTCTCCTCGCTTTCCACGAACGATAAGATGCGATCGATCACCAGGTGCGTCCGCAGATCTTCGCGGTCGCAGTTGGAGGGCGCACACTGCTCCGGCAGCGCCGTCGCCACCACGCCGAGTCCTTACCCCTTATTTCCCCCAGTAGAGCTGTGTGGCGCTGAAAGCCCAGAGCTGCGTCTGTGGCCGGAACAATGTTATCGCGACCCGCCAAAACCCGAACCTCAAGTGATATTTAAATCACCAAGTGGTGTTGGGGTCTCTCCCAGCCCAGAGGTGGGGGCTAAGCCTGCCACCACCCAGCGTGTTCTCGTTAGTGCATTCCAGACTTCCTCTTCGTATCCGACACGGCGGGAGAACGGCTTGCCAGATCATCTTCAGCGTGTTAATCTAGGGGCCTCTGAGTCGCTGTCTCCGGATCTGACGCGTGAGGCGTCTCCAGCCGTACGGCCGCCACGAGGCGCACAGATGATTGTCCAATACGTTGACGTTTCAAGCCACAGGAGCAAGGCTAATACAGTCGTCGGACACGCTGATCCTGGGAAACGCAATGCCTTTGCTGAGCTAGACGGGCATAAAGCATGGTCCGGGAGTAGTTCCTTGCCAGAGCTCACTAGCCACGATGAGGATACGAATAAGAACCGCCTTGAGATCCGCGGCGTCCTCGTAGAGCCGTTGGAGGGGCCAGATCCCTGCCCGGAGCCAAGTCCGAAGCCAATTCCACGTCTCCAGGCAGTGGGCAAAACTCCAGAGGGGGTTTCATCTGTGTGTGGTGGCGGCACTACGGAATCGCCGCGCGGGGATGCTCTTTTGAAGTGCATCAGTCCCATCGCCACGGTCCCGTCATTGGACTTCCGACCCTTCAAAAAGTCTAACAGTGGCCGCCATGTACGACCGCCTGAGCAGCCGCAGGGGACTCCCCGAGGGGCCGTCGCCGTGACCCCGCGAGTCGTCCTGAATGACCTGCGCGCGGAGGGGCGATCGCGCGGGGGGTCCCGCGTCCCCCCGTCCCGGTCAGCGGGGCGGACCCCACGAGGCTCCCCACAAGGAGGGGACGTGCCGGTGGCCCGGGCCGAGGGCGGGGGCGCGCGTTGGCGGGGGCCGTGTCACGCGGTCGTGCCCTCCCGTCATGCAAAGGGGGACACCACCCCCTCTTCTGGACAGCAGGGCGGGCCGTGTCACGCGGTCGTGCGCGGCCGATCTGCAAGGGGTGACGCGACCCCACGGCAGCGGGGCAGGCCCAGCCCTCCCAGCGGTGGGACGCCCCGCACGCCGCGCCTGGCACGGCTCCGGACCCGGTCTCAAGCGGTGTCGCCTGAGATGAGCTGCAAGAGCGGCGGCAAAGGCAGACCGCAGCCGCCGCCGTCCGGGACCACCCCCTTGCGTTCGGCGACACGGACAGCGTCGACGCGGGCGTGCGCGGGGAAGGGAAATGGGTTTCGGGAGAACCGCGGCCAGGCAGAGGGTGCGGGCCGCAACTATGATTTGAGTTGCCGTTCTAGAGTTGGCGTCTCGGGCGGGAAGACCAGGAATGCGCTAGTGCGGAGTCATACGGCTACGGTAGGTCTCACAGGTGGTGGTGCTTTTCGTCCAACCGTATTGGACGCACCATTTAAAAGTCAATGGAGTCTGTTCCATAGAACTGCGTCGTCTGCTGGCGTGTATCCTGCAGGACGTGATCGCAAGGATAGCCTCGGACGAGTCCGACGCGACCGCTCGACCTGTAGGGATCCAGCAAAGACTTTCTCGAGGTCAGCTTCAGCCTTTCCCAGGATCAACACGGCCCACCATATGGTGGCACCCCCGCAATCACAATTTTCAAAGACAACACCAACAGCCACTCTTGGCGGAAATACTTCCTCGGTCAAGGGCAAGCGGAGTTGCATCGTATTAATTACACGGCAACCGCACGCGCCACGCGGCAAGGCTAAATGAAAAGGTACCCGAGGGGGGCCACATCAGCGTCATGGGAGGGACTGTGATGACCATGGTTACTTTCTCAACTCCGTGCTATTTTGATGGGATCTATCACCTTCTCTATTCTTTCCCTCAATCTGGTCAACCAGTGTAACCCCCACTCCTCAAGGGGGTGAGGCTCTTCTTTCCTTTTAAATGTACACTAGCAGAAAAGACTTGAGGACGGAGGTCTGCGTGTTTGTCCTGCAAGTGGGGATTCCTAATTTTGGACCTCTATTCACGCACATGAAATTAGGAAATATTCCTGATGCTCAGTGTTGAAACTTAGAAAATCTACTACATTAGACATTAAATGGATTTTTTTTTTGAAACTTTAGATTTGTATGGTTGATTCTTTTCTTATATAAAAAACTCTTTACTTTTGGCTGAAACACAATCAGACTTAAGAGACAACAACCTTGTTCTAATATTCAGTACTCCATTTGGAGTCCGATACCGAACTTCTTTTTCTGTTCTCTCATAGAGGGTTGATACGTCGACAGAATGTTGCACGATTCAAAGCCTGCCCTTTTATGCTATTTACGAATTTACACATATTGATATCCCTTTTGAGAGTCTTTTAAAATAGATCTACCGCTCACTGGAGGTGGTGGCATTATGAAAAGCGATGACTGCTTAAGACTGCGTTGCTAATCGAACTTAAGAAGTCTCAAAAAACAAGCTAACCAAATGAGGTCAAGTCGTAGTCGAAGCTAATATTTTGACTAACTCAAAACGCGTTTTTTCTTTTGATGATGTAATCTTTACATCCATTTAACCTTTCCCTTTTATGCTATGTTGGTATTTAAAAACAGAACCAATGTTGATTTTTATTTCTTATTGAAATTGTCTTGAAGAATAATAAAAGAAAAAGAGCAGATAAATATACACTTTTTCCGAAGGCCATATCATTTTTATTTTCTATTTTTATTAGTTGAAGCTGATTAGCGGAAAAGGAGGAGGGTGTAAAGGGATAGTTTGTTCCAAACCGTAGTGTTTTTCTGAGTGAAGGTTAAATAATTTTATCTGTCATCCTTTATTTAAGCAATAACAGCTATCATCATTTTATACTGAGATCCTCGAAACGAAGCTGTGTGGGGAGCGTAGGAGTCCACTTGTTTCGCCTCACTTTATTGAACTAACAGAATAGTTGCTGGCTGCCAAAGCAAAATCAACTAAGCAATCGTCTTGCACAACGGCACAAATCGACCTGATTTCCTCTTCCACAAAGGAACTCCAAGTTCCAGCAAACATGTCAGTATGGGAGCTGCCTAACGGACATGATGGTTCTGTTAACTTTCCTAACATCGACTGGACAACCAACACGGGCGATCTGTTCAACAACAGCAATACGGATGCCGCGAATAGTCTCCTCATGACCGATCCGCGCGAGGTGCGGCGCGCCGAGACGGCCCCGATGGTCCTGACGATCATGGCGGTTGACGGCTCTCTCTGCGTTGGCGGCATCGAGGAGGAGGTCACCCCTGACGAGGAGTACCGCTACACCGAGGAATACCATCGGCTCTACTACTCCAAGACCCCTCGGGATCCGCGGATGCTCCCGCCGCTCGCGCGCCGCCGCCCGGTGAAGGGTCCCCCTGTCAGCACTAACTCGAGCACCATCGTCTCCACTAATACGAGCGGCGCGGTTGGGGATGGGATGGATACCACCAAGAAGACTTGGAGCGCGAATGCGGATAACCCCCCGCCGGTTGAGGCGACGACGACGACGGCGACCACCTCGCGACTCGCGGAGTACATCGAGGCGTCGCGCCCGGAGTGGGATTACGCTGCGATCAAAGGCCACGTCGCGGAGTTCAGCCGTGATCAGGATGGTAGTCGCCTTGTGCAGCGGCTGATTGAGAAGCTAGACAGCCTTGTCGAGATCGCCAACGAAGTCTTCGCTGACTTCGAGGGGCTGACGACGGACGTTTTTGGCAATTACGTCGTCCAGAAGCTGTTCGATATCGCGTCGCATGCGGAGCTTCAACGGCCACCAAACCCGGCTATCGTTGAGGCTCGTTTGTTAGACAAGTTAACAGACCAGATACGTGGGAAACTCAAAAAGTATTCCTTCCAAACGTACAGTTGCCGCGCCATGCAGAGGGCATTGGAGAATCTGCGTGAATCCGACCGCGACGAAATCATTCATGAGCTTGAAGGCTGTGTGATGGAGAGTGTGTTTGACCAGAATGCGAGCCACGTGGTGCAAAAAATCATCGAGATATACCCCTTTAAATGCCAGTTTTTGGTGGATGCCTTTTTACCAAACCTAACCGAGCTGGCTTGCCACGCCTACGGCTGCCGTGTTCTGCAGCGCACGTTTGAAAAATGCCACGATGTAAATGGGGTCAACATTCGGCCGCTGCTAGAGGCTGTCATCGACCACATTAACGAATTCACCATCCACCAGTACGGCAACTACGTCGTACAGCATGGAATGCTGAATGCGCCAGAGGACCTACGACACCGCATCGTCATGCAGCTCATGCCGCAGATGTACGCCCTGTCTTGCAGTAAGTTTGCTAGCAACGTGGCGGAGAAGGTGGTGGTGACTGCGAACAGTGAGGAGCGCGACGTACTCATTACACATCTCACCAAGTCCCTTAGTGAGAATCAGGGGGGAAATTACTTGGTGCATATGATGCAGGATACGTACGGCAACTACGTTGTGCAGCGCTTCCTCGAGGTCTCGTCGCCCGCCCAGCGCGCTCGCATTGGAGAGATTGTGATGCCGTATGTGGATACCATCAACCAGTCTGTCTACGGTCGTCATATGCTGCGTAGAATCGAGTCGTTGGGCATTCTTCCACGAGAATTTCTTCGAAAGCACAGTGCTGAGCCCAACGCCCTCGGATACGGCGGTACCGGCGTCAACAACGGCACCAAAAGCAACAGTATCAAGAATGTCAGCAACCATAACGGGAGCGGCAATGATCTTCGTCAGAATGTGAACGTCAATACCCAACGCAACTCGCGTCGGACAAACAATAACACGACTTCCAACAAGCGGGGTAACGTGAATCAGCAGGCTACGGCGAGTCTGACTAATTTGCCGAGTTTGGGGAGTAACAATAACGTGATCCCTGTGCCGCAGCTCACAGCGACTTACCCTCCCCATCCGTTTGTTACTATGCAGGGCTATATGCCGATGCGTGGGTATGCGCCTTACACCGCGGATCCTCAGTGCGCCCCGCTGCAGACGCAGAAGACTGACTTTATTTCCAATCCCCCTGTCCAGCCGCCTTTTGGCTACCCCGCCGCCATGTATACAGCTACTAACCCTAACGGTTGTGCGCCGCAGGCCTCCTTTTTCGTCAACAGTGGCTACTCCGCTCCGACGCCGCAGGCGTCGTCGCATCCTCATGCGCATTTCATAGGCCTTCACCCTACCCCTAGCCCCATTCTCCAGCCTACCGGAGGTCCTGGTCCGAACTCTAACAACGGCAGTCTGACTTATTATCCTAAAACAATGTATGTTGATGGCGGCTCCATGGATGGCAACTTCAACAACAACGGAAACATGAACGGCATGGATGCCTACCATAACTTCACACCTTATCAGCCCAACGTGCCCGGTACGCGGTGGTGTAAATAGATCTGGCATCCAGGGCTTAGGGGGGAGGGGGGGGGGGAGGTCTGCTTCTTCCTTCCCCCTTCTCTTATTTCACTTGAACCTTCGCAGCAAGCCAATCTGGGCTTCACGAATCCAAATCAGAGCAAAAAATGTGTTGGAATTGTACTTTTAAGACTCTGCGTGGTCAGGGTAGGGTTGGGGTTACAAAGTGTCCAAAGGTAGGATTATGCGCAAGTATGTATGTTTATGTTAAGGGTACCTTCTCTGCGCTATATTTTCCCGATGGGATCTACAAATAGGCCTTGATTCACTGATAAAGCAACCTCAAATAAATTATACTCCATCCTATCCGAAACAAGAGCAAATTATCTAAGTAATTAATAATATGGAAGTGTATGACAATTCCTCTCTATTAGTGCTTTTTTTTTTTAAAAGGCTTCTCCCTTTGATTTCTTAGGATTGTTTCTTTTTTTTTTTTGGGTAAATAACCGGAACTGTCATTTGAAACGCTGTGTTTACAATGCATTGTTTTTTTTTGTGTGTACGTTTTTGGATGCGTTCCCGCATCACTTCTTTGGAATTTGTGTGCTTTAGGCTATTTATTTTTATTTCAGGAGACATTTCAGTAGTAATTTTTCCCACTCAACCGTAAGAATGTGTTACACCAAATGTGAATTCTACTTTCCTTTCTTTATCCTTGGGCAAGGTACTCAAAATTCAACCCAAAATGGGATCATTAAAGGGGGAAACGGTGTATTCAATGCACATTTCCACGTCATCATGAAACTATTTTTACCATCATTGTTTTTCGGGAAAATATGTACCTTAGCTAATTTCCCCCCAAAAGCATTTTTATCCCTTTGTGTTTCTGTTATTGACCCCTTCTAATTAGACTGGGGAAAAATTGCAGCAGGCGAGACCAAGGGTAACCAAGAAGGGAATAGATGAGTAAGACGAGCCTTTCTATGCTTCTGCCTTTTAAGTGGTTAATATGAGAGAAATGTAGATATATATGTATATATATGTATATATCTAAAATTGAGCCACACAACTTTCCTTTTTCCTCTCCCTTTATTGTGGAATGACATTTTTTCTCGATTTTCCGAGTTCTTAGTACTTTTGTGAGTGTGTGCACAAGCGAAGCTGTGTAACAATGCGCTTACAAGGCAAAGTAAAAGCTATACTGTTCTCATCCTTAATCCTTTTTGTCAAGTTGTGCAACCACTAAAAATTGCGCCATCTTCAGAAATTACATAAAAATGCGTAGTAAGAGAGAGAGAGAGAGAGATAGGTGGGCAATGTGCAAATTGTCTTAATTGGGAAATATGTTTTTTACTTTCTTTTCATTTTCCTATCAAGTATTTTAGGGTGGTTCGAGGGTTGGATAATCCAATGACTTAGATTGTTAAAGCAACCATCCCACTCTGTCAACACATTTGCGTCAAAAGTGTTATTTTACCTGCATAAAAATTTCCATCATAATGTCATTATTTTTTCCCCTTCTACTGCCCTTTATGAAAAGAAAAGATCTGAACAAGAAAAACATTTTTTATTATTTTTTATTATGTGAGCAGTGTTCGTGCTTCCTTTTTAGTTTTTATCTCCGCTTTTGATATCATTTTAAGCAGAATAATGGTTTGTGTAGTTGATGAAAGGGAAGTATATTTTGAAAGACACACATTTTGCAAGTATACAAGAAGTAGCTTCCCTTTTCTTAGTCTCTTTTTTCATTTACACCGAAAAAAAAGATGTATATCGTTTAATGCTGGTATTACTACAGACCATTACACACAAAATAGTAGTAATACTGCTACTAGTAATAATAACAATAATAAGTTTGGCAACACTAAAAAAAAACAGTTAATTGTGCGGTGCCAGCTTTATAGTATGATCCGACAATTAGGTTTTCGTGACGCAAGGGTGAAATATTGGAGTAGAAACCGCATTTTTGTATTCCCCTTTCTCCTTTTCTTGTATTTTTCTATCTGCATATCTAAAATCTTGCTTTTCTCTCATTTTAAACATGCAATCCGGTTATGAGATATTTTATTTAATTAGAGCTTGTTCATTTCAATATTAAGTAAACAACGAATTCTTCCCCCGTTTTTTGAGTAAGCAGTAAGACATCCGTTTTGTGTGTGTCTACGGTAGATATATGCATGTGCAACCTATAGCTATGTTACTTAAATATGTAGCACAGTTTAGGAAATGCACGTGTTGCGTTTCTTTTTCTTTCCTCCGAAAAAGCTAATAAATGCTAATATCATAAAGGAAATTACGAATATAACAACCGCGTAAAAAGAATTCGAATTCAAAGCTTGCACATGAAAGCAATTTCCTCAAAATCAAATGTTTCTTTCATAAAAGTAGTATATTTTGAGTTACTCCTTTGAATGATGTAAAACATACTCACCATGTATAATGTTTTTTTTCTCCCATGGGTGGTCGTAATAACATTCGTTAGTTATTATTTTTGTGTTATGGTTAAAATGTCCTTATCTCTTGAAGGCTAGATCAAAATGAGAAGAACATAACGAAAAGTAGGATGGAAAAACTCTTACATGAGATTTTTTTTTTTGCTTACAATTTCCTCCCTTTTTACTGTTATGTTTTTCGTGATAAATATTACATATTCATGCATTCCCCACTTTCCTTCATGTCCCTGTCTTGTAAGCTGTGCGTAAGTTTCTTTTCCATTCTTCTTCCTATTCATCGAACGAGATACACATCTAATATTTTTTCCGCATGTAGCAACAAATACTTGCACATTTTGTCTGGTTGTCTTTCAGACTCCTGTATTGTGTCGTTGTGAAAACTATTAAGTAAACAAGAAGCGAGGTAAGAACGCCTTGCAAGCTGTATCCTTGGGGGCTGATTGGTTGTATTGCACCATGTTTCGTCCTGAGGACCTTGAGTGTAGAAAGGTGGAATGCTGATTGACTTCCTAACAACAATAAAATGCTCTTCTTTTCTTCCTTTTCTCAGGCGCAAAATTTACTGTTTCTGTTTTCTTTTCACCTATTCACGCGTAGTGTTTGGGTAAGAGATTAAAGTCCTTCCTGCTGTGGATACTATTGGTTTCCCACTGGCACGCACTTCACTCTTTCATTCCCTTAAAATTATATAATCCTCTGGAAGTGGATATAGGACTCTTATTGTGGGCCCCGCGAGACACTAGTATAATCACTGAGTGAACTCTAAATCAGGGGTAAAGTGTAACTATCAAACAACAGGCTTCAATTATCTATCGTGGAACCCACGAAAGAGGGGTAAGGGGTGCTAGATCTCGAAGCTGCAGAGAGCTCTGGGTCTAAGTAAGGGTGAACGTGGAAAGCAGCTGGTCATAGGAGGATACAAGATTTGGGCCGTGCCCCAACGGATAAGTATATCTAAATACCATATTTTACGTGTTCTTAATTAGATAAGTTATATTCATATATACACCAAAGCTCAACATTTTAGTGCATTCATTTGTAAAAAAAAACTAAGAGGAAAGGTATCTTGAGGACGAGGGGCATCGAAAAGCGAGTCGAGCGATTGTCTTTTTTTTTTTAGGAGTGGAGCAACCATGACGACGACATTAGCCCAACATTCACAGCACTTGTATCAAATCTTATGCATTCCAGACTTTAGCTCCATCGAGACGGTGCGTGCCGCATACAAGATGATGGCCCTGCGTTGCCATCCAGACAAGAATCTTGACGACCCGAACTCCGCTGATAAGTTCCGCGAGGTACGCACCGCATACGAAGTGCTGTCCAACGAAGAACGAAAGAAAAAGTACGACACCGAGCTTCGCAACTTTAAGTCCACTGCAACCCTGCGGGGTACTGCCAATGGCAAGAGCGGCCATCGCGGCCACCGTTCCAGGGGAGACGCTGCCGAGATGAGCAGCAGTGCGGCGGAGAATCCGTACATGTCTGGTCAGGGCTTTGATTTCGACATGAACTCCGGCATCCACGAGGAGCTCCACCGCTACCACGCGAGTCGGGCGTTCTTTGCGCACTCACGAGCAAACTCCAGCAACCACCGCGGCTACAAGGCGGACCCCGAGACGTCGAACTACACCAAAGCCCAGCAGGCGATGTTCCGCCGACGGGAGCGCGAGCGCCAGGCGGAGCTCAAAAACCAACTCGAACGCGAGCGAAAGGAGCGGCGGGAGAAGGAGCGGGAGCAGCGC